CAATTAGTACTTTTCAAACTTCACAGGCCCTGGTTAAAAATATAGACCACTGGGACTCAGCAGGCCTGGCTGGGACCTGAGGCTCTGCACCCTAACCTTGGTGAGGCAGACACTGCCAGGCTATAACCACACTGGGACCTGAGACTCTGCACCCTAACCTTGGTGAGGTGGACGCTGCCGAGATATAGCCACACTTCAGGTAGCACATTTAGAGAAAGAGCTATTTTTTCCTCCAAAGTCCAGGCTGGGCTTGTCTACATTTTAATTGCCATATCTTTAGTAACAGTCTTTGCTATAAGCTATCTTGATGGTGTTAATCATGTGAGACATTACTAAAAATTCAACTGGAAGAAATCTGGGTTATTAAAACAATTTTTAAATTGTTCTTACCTATACTCTGGTAATGCCATCGAAAGAAAATTCGTTCAGGTAGAAATTGCAGTATTTTCTACAAAACAAAATAATACATAAAGAAAATAAACAATGACATCACATAGTTTCCTGACAGGCATTGAGTACTTGCTACATATGTAGGTCTCAGAAAAGGAAGTGAAAACTAGTTATTAGTAACGTGAACACCGGGCTCTTCACTGGAATCCTGTAGTTCTTTTATTTGTTCCCTCAAGCTTCCTTCACTGAATGTTTTAAAAAGACGACCATCTAACTTTAAATTTAGGGAGGAATCCAAAAGAAAACAGGAGAAAGTAATAAACCTAAAATGGTCATTTTATCTTAAGCTACTGCTTAAACATTAAAAGAATAATTTCCCAAATGCCAGATTCCCTGATATCCTTCTTTTGTACCCTCTCTTTCCCATTTCCAATATAATCATTTTCACTCTCCGGACAAAGAACAGCATTAGGAAGATGATAAACAATGAAAAGGAGGAGCCACAAAGAACTCCGTGACAAGAAAATGAACGTGGGAGCAAGAATCCAAGGACTCAGTACGCTGAAAATATGCTTCAGGACTGTGGTTCCAAATCCCCCCAACTTCTTTCAGTTTGACTTTCTTAGATTCCACGAAGAGGTAAGTGCGATCCCGCCGTCTCTGTCTCTCTGCACCTGGCTTGTTTCACTCAGCGTAACGCCCTCCAGCTCCGTCCACGTCCACGTTCCCACACCACAGAGCCTCCCCCTTTCTGAGGCTCAGTCCTGCTCCACATTCTCTTTACACCACATTCTCTTCATCCATCCGCGGACGGATGCTCAGACTGCTTATGCATCTTGGCAACTATAAACACTGCTGCAAAAAAAGTGGGAGTGCAGATACCGCATCCCCACGCTGACTTCACTCCTCGGATGTGCACCCACAAGTGGGGTGGAGGTCACGGGGACTTTCGTGCTGTCCTCCATAATGGCTACACGAATCTACTTTCCTAACAGCAGTGGACCAGGGCTCCCTTCTCTCCACATCTTCACCAACACGTATCTCTGTGATAATAGTAACAGCTATAAAGTGATATGTATTGTTATTTTAAGTTACATTTCCCCAACGATTAGTGATGTTGAGCATCTTTTCATAAACGTATTGGCCATTTGTATGTCATCTTTCGAGAAAGTCTATTCAAGTCTGCTTGTTACCTTCAAGCCCAGGCCTTGTGTCACCACACCATGCTGCTGACACACACTCATATACCCCCACACATCCCAAATCCCAGTCAGTGACAAACAGGCTTCACATTTGAAGCACAGGAATAAAATTAATATGACAAAATATTTAGCCCTCACTTCACAGTATTTCATGATTAGTGGGCAAGAGAAATGATTAAAATATATATATATATATATATATATATATATATCATTAAGCCAATTAAAAAAGAAAAAAAACCTCCTGCCATGGCTGCAGGTGGTGGAGAATGTCTGTAATACCAGCACTTTGGGAGGCAGAAGGGGAGTGGCTCAAGGCAGGAGTTTCAGACCAGCCTGGGCAATAGCAAGAACCTGTCTCTTAAAAAAAAAAAATCTTTTTTTAATTAGCCAGGCATGATAGCTTGCACCTGTAGACCCAGCTACTCTGGAGGCTGAGGCAGGAGGATTTTTCTTTAAGTTTGACTTTTTTAGATTCCACAAAAAAATAAGTCCAGGAATTTGAGGCTGCAGTGAGCTACAATGATGACACTGCACTTTAGCCCAGACAACACAGTGAGACCCTGTTCACTCTCCCCTACCCCCAAAAAACAGAAGTTGGTATGTGGTACTAGGGAGGTGAGGGGGAAAGTGACTCCTCAGCAAGGGCTTCCTGGAATGCTTCAGGGACAAGAGGATACTTTAAACTCACCTAGTAGAGAGTAAGGACAGAAAGAAGGGCGTGGGGGTCGTGCCGAGGGGCAGAAACACAGCTTGGAGCCCTAAGAACAGCAGCAAGCAGGAGGGTCATCCTGGCAGGCAGGTGAGTGACAGGGGAGGAGACAGGACTGGAGAGGCAGGTTCAGGGGTTAAAGTCCTCACGGGGGGGGCATTGTGCAGTCGCTGAATGGTTCCAGGGGGAGGTGAATTTGAGATGCTGAAAGGAGGGAGATAATCAATGAAGGAACGTGGTAACATGATACTTCAGAGGAGGTGTGAAATGGCCTGGACAAGGTCAGCAAAGTAAAGAAGAGAAGCAATAATAGTGATATGTAGGAGTAAAACTGTCAGAATGGGTAGGGAGAGTGGCTGTGATAAATGGGGGACTCCAGAATGACTGACTCCCAGTGGCTTAGTAAACAGAAATGCTTTTATCCAAGAGAACTAATCCAAAAGGAATCTTAGGCTGGGGCGAATGTCCTGGAATTTGAGGTGTCAATGGACTCTCTTAGTGAAGATGTGCTTCTAGGAGCTGGTGGCAGCTGAAGTTGCGTGTGTGTGATCTGGCTGGGCAAGAGTTAAAACAAGAAGATGAAACGCTGGTGGGGTCAGTGAACTGAGGGAGTTCTGCTAAGAAGGTTAAGGACAGGGAAACAAGAGCTGGAGACAACTGTGCTCAAATCAAGAGAGAAACCTTAGATGCGCCAGCTGTTTATATGCTAATTTATTTTAAAGATCAGAAATACATAGGATTATTCATATGCACAACTAGTTTTTAAGTGTAAGATGCTGGGAAATGAGAGAAAATAGATGATACACAAAATAATGACGTCAGTACTCAGTCAAGTGAGCTGGACGTTCTCTCTTGCCTGGAGAACCCACAGCCTTGTCAGCCAATCATCAAATTCCAGGCATAAAAAATCCATCTATAAAGTGCACAGAAGCAAATGGTTGTTTGAGGGGGAAAAGATCAAAATAGATCTTCACTTTACGATATACATCAACATGTTTTAGATGAGTAACACAGAGAGCTAAATATAAAAATTGGGTTGTTACGATAAGTTCCATTGTGTTAAATGGAATCAGAACAAGTAAGCGGTGCTCTGCAGAGTGTCCCAGTAAGGACCACGTGACCCCTGTACACCGTGAACATCCCGGTGAGCTCAGAACACGCACAAACCAAGCAAGGAACCACAAAGCTGGCTCCAGCCCACAGGAAAACATTACAGGCAAAAAGGCTGGAACAAGAAACCCAACAAACAACTCTACAACTGAGAAAACTGAGGATAAGGACAAGGGTCTCAGCAGTCAGGCTGCTGCCAGGCCAAACCAGCACCTGTGCAGCTGCATGGGGGGGGGGGGACCACCTGGGGGTGGTCTGAGCAGCATGAGGGCACAAGACTCAGGAAAGATGATCTGTTTGCATCTAAGCATTAGGATCCTTTAACTCATACTTTCTCTTCACCAAAAAATTACTATAAACCCTAGTTTATTGTCTTTGATAACAACAAACTAAAAGTAATCATTGCAAGTCGTCATCTGGGAACGTGCTGCCATGGAGGAGTTAAGAGCATAAATGATTCACGGAGCAATAACGTCTGTGGGAGAGAGAAGGAGGCGGCAGGCAGGACTGGGCAGGAGGGCCTCTGACCACACACAAGCTGACAGATCTCCGCCAGTGTGAGCTCCCGGGCAGAGATCACAGGAGTCCTACCGGATAAGGAAGAGAAATGCCTCCTTCAGTCAGAGGCTGGGGGCCACGATCAGTGTGACTGAGGCTAGAAAGCTGAATGTGTGGACAGCCAGATGCCATCACCAAACCCTCCTCGCAGCTGGCAGAAAACTCTTTCTTGAAGGGGAATGAGAGCACCACATCTCTGTGTGTGCCGTAGTCATCTTCAAGTTATTAATTAGAACACTTATATGTTAAGAAGCCGAAGCACTGAGTGCAGCAGCCCCTACTTCAGAGAAAACGACCTCTCCACCAGCGCTGTTTCCTATCAGACAGCTGCTGCCTCTCTTGGACGGAAGCCTGGCTCCACTGCGTCCTCCTACAATTTTTCTGTCTCCTTCCACGTAGTTCACTCTGCGTGAGCAAACGGCACGGCAGCGACCTGGTGTCCCATTTTCTCGTGCATTCTCCTTCAAAGGGACCCCTGGCACCCCACCTACATTCCAGCATCATCCTTAGAGCTCATCCTGCCACTTAATTTAAAATTTTCACATAGAAGGTGCAGAGAAAATTAACTTGGACCAGAAGAATACTGCCCCCTGTTCTCCAGATCTTTAATCTAACCTGAAAGCCAATTTGGCAATGAATCATGTTTTCCAGTTTTCTGGAACACACACTGGTCTTCTTGATATGGTTTTCTTTTGTTAGTATGCAACAGAAAAATAACTTTTTAACAGAAAAAAACCCCAGATAATGTAGCTGAGGTCAGCCTGTCATCATTACTACTTCTGAATAAAAGTTTTCAGATTTACAAAATGGACGGACTTTAAAGACACTCAAAAATAAAGTCAGTAAGGTGTGGGTATAAAACACACACCCAGTATCTGAGCTACTAAGAATATTCCCCAATAGACAGAATCTTACAAAACAATTCAAAGGCTAAAACATTACCCACACTAATGCTTCTTTTTGTGCCCAAATATTTCAAGGGCCATTTTTTATACATTAAAGCCGAGGAGGTCAATAAAAACAAAGCCCACCATAACTGCTATGTCTGAAAGCTGAGCTGGTCCCTTGGAAAGGCCCAAGGAAGCCACCTGTGCTGAAGCAAATGCAATCTGGCCTTCCCTCCACTGCAGCCGGTACCCTAAGCTCCTCTGCTGTGACTCCCACACAAGCTGTTGACATCTTGTTTGTAGTTTCACTGGAGAGTAAAATAAAAAAAAAAAAAATTCACGAAAGCCACACAGTGTGAATAAATATTACTTTTCTGAAAAACACATGGCTCTATTTAATGCTCAGTGCTCAGCTGCGTCTATATGGTAATCCACTACAGCACACTCGAAATCGAAATTAGGTCTTACTACTGATCAGCACATCAGGGAATCTGTCATTCTTTTAACTGATTATCCATAGTTCTTTTTTTCTTCAGAGTCTACTGCATGACCAGGAATAATGTGAAATGTAAGCTGGAGTTTATACAAG